TATATTATTAATCTTATAATATTATAATAGTATAAGGGTTGAATTTTAAACTTGTAAAATTCTAGGGTTTAGTATTTAAATATTTCAAAATTAACCTTTAAATCAAAATTTTAAATTCCAAAACCTGAGGGAAAGTTTTAAAACCTTTCAAAACGTTCTAGATCAAATTGCAAATAATATAATTAAACAAATAATTAGTGATTATCTAAATTTGACCTAATCCAATTACATGGCAAGATAATGCAATCAAATAATTCAAATAATTAAAGATTATCATATAAGGCAATAATTATCTAATTAATTTGCAATTATCTTCTATTTTGATAAGGATAATCATATCTATTTAATAAAAATCGGATTTTATTAATTAAAACGTTTTGGTAATTCTCCTAATCAAAAAATATGCCAAAATCCCGAAAGTTTTGCTCCCTGACACTCCGACTCGCCGAGTTCATCTGACTCGTCGAGTTCATCTGGTGACTCGACGAGTTCAACTGTCAGAGGGCAGAATTTCCGATTTTGCAAGAAATGAATGATCAAACACTGCATCAAATACAATAGAAAACAGCCTAGGCTCTGATGATGGGTTTTGAACATTACATCAATCCTATGGTGCACATGCAAACCCTAAAGCTTTGGATCTAGGTTTCTCTAATTATACATGCAAATCATCCAAAGCTTGTAATCCTAATACTAGCATACAAAAAATCGAAATCAAGAACTAAAACAAGTTTAGATGATTACCTTTCAAATGTAGCAAGAAACTTCAACCTTTGAGAGCTTTTGTATCACAAGTGTAATACCTCTAATCGATCACAAACACCGAGGCAATTGGAAGAATGTTAGAGAGATAGGGGAAGGCTAAAATCGGCTCCTAGAACTTGTAGGGTTATTGTGTAGCCAAATTTAGGTAGCCAGAAGGGTCCTTATATAGGTAAGGAGTTAGGGTTTCAGTCAAACACTTATCTGGTTGGTTAGGCTCTAAGCAGCCCATAAGATCCTTCTGGAATCCCTTCCTTGGACGAACTCTAAAGGCCTTATCGACAAGGTTTCGTCCATCCTATCCTTAGGGTTTCCTTAGCCTACTCTGCAACTATCCAATAATTACAATATCAGTCCCCTAGGTTCAATTAATATCTTTTGATCACAAAATTAATTCCTTAATTAACTCTTGACCAATATTAATTAAACTATATGATTTCTCTTTTAATATATTATTCATATAATATATTAATCAACCATAATAACCTCTTTCTCTATAATTCATCCAGTCAAGTTGCTTTGGTGAAGGCAACCCAAAAGGACCATGCTACAACTGGGTCAAGTACATACCAAATATAGTTATGGACTTAGACACTAATCCAACAGTCTCCCACTTGGATAAGTCTAATAACTATAGATGCAAGTACGACTTCAAAATCCGATTAGCAATCGTAGCTCTCACACTACAAGAGTAAGGAACTATAGATACGAGATCTACAGGGACGACAAATGTCATCGTTATAGACGGCCTATAGAGACGACATGTCGTCTCCATAGAGTTTAGAATATTTTTTTGACGTTTGCTTCTACAGCGGTATCAACATGTAAAGCGGGTAAAAAAAGCGCGTTTTGGGGAAGGGTAGAGGGACGACCTGTCGTCCCCATAGCTTTTTATGCCTTAAATCAGCTGACAATCTCCTTCGTTTCATTCACACACACTCAATTATCAGTCTATCTATCTCTCACTCTAGATCGGAGATTCTCCCCTCCCTAATTTCGACCATTATCTTCTCCCTTGGCGACTTCCTCACCTCCCACTCCCTGCGAATCTTCGTCCTCTCTCCGTAGATTCTCATACTAATTGTCGAACACCACCGTCGGGCTCAACAACTACGATTAGTTTCAACGCCGACGATTCTGACTATCGGCTTCCTTTTCACATCCGGTTACGAATTCTATCGAATACAAGCCCTAATCTGGCTACCAGGTTAGTAAGTCTCTGTTTGAAACTGTAATTGAGGTGTATGTTAGCAATTATGTGTTTGAAACTGGAATTGGGATATAGGTTAGCGATGATGACGACGAACAAACTCAAATTCAATACATATTTGTTTTCAATATTGCTCTGTACGTTTTCTTTGGCGGAAGCAAGGTTATTGTATTTTTAAATGGCTTATTTCTGAAGATTATCTCAATGACTCTGTGATCTAAACAAAGTGAGATGAATTCATGTGGACTTATTTTATGTACAACTTATGATAAGTTACATCTTCACTAGAAGAGAAAGTTAAGCTGGATGAATTTAGCACAGGAAATATTTAATTGAGCATTCTGTTTGTGTTTGCTTATAGAAAATTTTGGATGCTTTTTATTTTGTTTGCAGGGAGGTAGGGCTAGGGTGTTCATGTACCAAAAGGTACATCCATAAGCAAGAAAACAGATGTCCAATGACCCTGCTTTCATCTTTGTAGGAATTTAACTGGGGAAATTGCTTGCAAGAGTATGCGAAAAGAGTGGTATAATTCATCATTATCTTCATATTGTTTATGTTTTCATCATTAGAAAGCACTATTAAATAGGATAAATTGAGTACCTTCTCATATGAGTTGATAAGCATGCCACTCCAAAGTGTAATTGTTTCACTAATCTTGATTTCGACTTTTTTGTGCAATTCAAAATGAGGAGGCATCAGTAGATGATTTGATAGAATTTGTGGAACAAATTGTTGCTTTTTCACATGAAATATGGACTCTGATTCTTTTTTTCATTTGTTCCTTTCTTTTGGCAACAACTTTTTTACATGAGGATCTTCCCTTAAAATGCAGTAACCTCCATCAGGGCCAAGTGGGAGGGGCAGCTTGGTAATCGTGTGACTTCTGGGCCACTTGCAAATGAGTCTGCAACCATTCTCCCCATTGATTGGAAGAAAAGTGAGAACCAGATTGCTTGATGACAACAATTTTTATGAAACTGTTATAACAGATTACAACCCTGTTGAGGTAATTTGATCTTGCTTGCAGTTGGACCTCCAAATTTTATGCTAAAAAAATATCTTGATACGGCTTTCAGGGTCGACATGCACTAGTTTATGGTATTAGTACAATAAAAGAGACATGGGAGTGGGTTAATCTTGCAGAGGTAAGCGTAGGAAGTTAAAATCCACGTCTTAAATAAAATGTTTAAAAATATTGTTTGATAATTGATACTTGATGCAGATATCACCAGAGGATATACAATGAGAAAGGGAGGATCCTGGGATTCCTCATAAAGGGGGTTGTGGTGGATCAGGTCATGGAATGAGTGGAGGTGGAGGTAGGGGTAGAGGGTTGCCCAAAAGTCAAGCAGCAGCAACAAGAAAAGATTTTCCACCATCACAAAATGGCATTGGAAAGAAGGGCCTAGACAATATTCAGTTACTTCACACTAATACTCTAATAAAAGAGGTAAATTGCAGATAACTCATTGTATTCTATTTACAAGAAAGGAATTTTAACATTCATGTCATGTGCGTGCAACACAGGTTGAGAGGGTATTTGGGTCTAACTTGTGAAGCATGTGGACAACACAACTTATAAAAGAGCATGTATGTACTTAAGAAGTTCAGCAAGGTAAACTATCAAGTTTAAATGAATCATTTTTCTATACATCATGTCATCTATTTGTTGTTTGAAACTTGGAGTTTCAGTTTCATAAATCATTTTTCTATACATGTGTACTTGGTTTGCATTTCATGGTCATTGGAAAGTATAATCTGATAGAAAGAGTTTATTATGCTTTGTACTTGGTTTGTATGTTTCAGGTGTGAATGTGGTGATGCAATTTAGTTTTCTTGAACACACCACACCCTTTGGATACTTTGAGAGACTAGTGCGCGTACCAAGTCGTATGAAACTTTTAAACAATTTCAAATTATGTTGTATGTTTTGGTAAACAATTGGATATGATATTCAAATGTTTTGATATTATTGTATGATATTTAATGTGTTTTTAATTAAATTTAGTGTTTTTGCTCATTTGTGTTTGAGAAAACTGGAAAAATAAACAAAAAATAGGAGCTGAATGTAAATTATGTACAATATCTATGGAGACGACATTTTGTTGCTATAGATCTAGCTATGGGGACGACATGTCGTCCCTGTAGATGCAGCAATGGAGACGACAATCAGGAACCAACAACAACGATATCTCGTCTCTAAAAGGTACCTATGGCGACGATATCTATAGCGACGCCAAAAACGATCTATTGCGACGGGGCTATAGCGACAAAGGTTGTAGGGACGACTTGTCGTCACAGCCACCTATAGGGACGACTTTCTAACCTATAGAGACGACATTTTTCGTCCCTATAGGCCCCGTTTCTTGTAGTGTCAAAATCTGATGTCAAACTCTGACACGTCCTTTAGATAAGGGATCGTATAGTCCTCCATTCTCAAGATATCGTGTGGACAATTACATGGAACATAGTCATACTTATTGTCCAGCAGTTCGTTTCTCGATCTCTGATCTGTCTGACATAGAACTTAATTGAACACATCAACTCAGTCCTGACCGGGCCCGACACATAAGTCAAACCAAATCATCGAGGGGCCCAAGATATCGCTTTTACCCTCGTAGGATAAAATGAACAGATAAACTTCGACTTATATGCATTTACTATTTACTCATCAAATCATACACAACAATGCATTTTATAACACCAAGTTACTGATGCGTTTACGCATTATCAATGCACAACCGACTCTCAGGCTGTTATTCACAAATCGGGTTGACTTAGGCGTGTCTGGTGGCCTAGAAACACACTCATTGCGACAACTCAAAAAAATCTAAAAGATTTATATGCTCAATAGTAATTATAGAATGTTATTGTTATATAATATATGATCATAAAGGGTCACACTAACAACAATTTGATGCAAATATATTATTTATAAGTATTTGATTCTTGATAAATAAATATAACTCTTGCATTCAATTGGAAATTATTTATTTCATGGAAATATTAATTTTCAATGTTAAGTATCAAAGAATATCATAATATATCATAAGGTATGATTTATTATGTTATGTATATCTTTTTGGACTAGAAAGACTTTTGTCTTTTAGCTAATTGGATAAGGGTTTATAATTTATAAAAGGCTTAAAGTTTTTATAAAACTTTGTCCTTTTTGTTTAATAAAAAATGGTATGTAGGAGAGACCGTGTGCCTAGTTGCCTTTTGATTATTATAATACAATGTGCATGCTTCTAAAGTTAAGCAATACACCATCATGAAGCATGTGTCTTAAAGTGTTAAAGACCCATTCGGTAAAGGGATAAAGTAAGAGACATATAAACTAGTTGTGAGCTTTTTTTTCCTCTTGATAAAACCATATACATGCTCTCTTCTTCCTCTTTCTCTCTATGTCTTAAAGGTTTAACTTCTTATTAGATGGAAAATAATACTTGCAAACTCTCTTTAACATAATACTTGGGTGTAACTTAAAGCTTAATAATGTCTTTATTATTACAAGAAGAATACTAACATTTTATCAAAGTTGAAAAATTATTGGTATTCCTAACTAAGGTGGAGCTTCACTCTACATTCTTAATCAACTTCTAACCTTCCAAGAGGAACTAAAGTCTTCAAATGTTGTATTATTTTCTTCCTATAGTTGTTTTAATCTTTCCATGTTTGCAAAATAATCTTTGGTGGGTAAAATAGTTTTAATTTATTCAAATCTAAAATTGTTTTTGTTGCTAATCACGATATTTTTGACACTATAGTTAAACTATTTTTGAATAAAACCCAACAAAATCATCTTAAGCTATACAGGATATAGATAAATTAAAGTCAAAGTTAAACCTAAAAACTTTCACAACCATTATCGATAGGCCCAGTACACATGAATAATTCCAACATCTTTTTTCATAACCTACCTTGCAAACTTCAAAATGATATTGCTTACGTTTGATTTTGTTTTCGAATCAACATCCCTTTTGTCCAATATCCTCTTCACTGGAAACATACTCTCCAAATGAGTGATAACCCTAAAAATGGAAGAAATCGACTCGTGTTAATGGAAAATGATCTCTCGATGCTTTCGAAAGCGAAGATCTAACGAATTACAATCTGATGGACGCCAATTTGAGGTAGAATAATGTAGGAGGGGGATAGAGTTAAATTTTATTTAGAAGATGTTACACAAATGGTTTATTTAGAAACAATAAAATAAATAAATAAGATGGTAAATCGACCATTTTCTATGTCTTTTAATTATATTAGTCAAAAGGACAAACCACAAGATTTTGAAAGTGGTGTGCATTTTCCATCATTGTCCTTAAGTTCTTAAGTTGATACTAGAAATCAAAAAAAATCATTTCTGGAATTTTGTCTAAAATTTATCTTAAAAAGATCTGCCGAAAATTTTAGGAAAATGTCAACAATTAGTAGTTTATTTGTAGAAAAAAAAAAAAAATAAATAAAATAAAAAATTAAGCCTACATAGGATGGTTGAAAAACCGATAGTAATTGGTACAATCATTATTGGTTAATGGTTACTGCTCCCATGTGTTTGCAGCTGGAATATGGGAACTTTGTGTTTAAATGGAAGTCTGGCCAGAAGCCCCACATTTCATCTTCGCCCGCATTTTATAACAAACGTGGCATCTGGTCGATAGATTTTGGTAGCTGATTATAACAATATTGATTACTGTTATTATTAATGTTAATAAATTATAATAAGTATTACTAATAATACTACAATAACTATGAAAATATTATTATAACCATCATATCATACATCATACATACTTATAAAGCTAGCATTTTTTCTTGAACCTCATGCATTTGAAACCCCCATAAAAGTTTGCAAACACCTCATGCATTTGAAACATCCTATTTTAATGAATATCACTCAAAAGTCTCTTAATAATGATTAACAATTCAAAGGTTTTATAACTTATATAATATATTTAATAAACAATTAATGGGTACTCTACTATAAAAAGGTCAATCTTTTTTAGTAGACACACAAATACAAATCACATACAAAATTCACAAAGAAAACAAGTTATAAAGTTTTTTGTGTTGGTTTGAGGGCTTTGAACAATTTTTCGAGCCATGTTATTATGTTGAAGTTTTTAATTTGTAAGTTTGTTATATACTAATTCTTTTTTGTATTTTCTTGATTTAAGTATTCTTTTAATAATATCATTGTATGTTGTGGTTGAAAGTTTAATGTAAATTGGATTAGATTCATGTTAACGATCATATGTTATGGAAGGTGATATATATAATTTTAATTAACTACTGTATACATGTTTGTATGTCCATGTTGCTTCAAAACAATAATTAATTAAAAATTATGGATATGTCATATTATCCATGTAAGCCTTTTTTTAAATGCAAATTGTCTATCTTATCACTTTATATTTTAGTATATGTTTAACATTTTAATTATAATAATAAGTGTTTTTTAAAAGTTTCTTTCACTCATTAATAATAACAAGTGGTTTTAAAATTAATAAGCAATAATTATAAATAATAAAACCAAATTACATGGATATGTCATATTATCCATGCAAGTCTCTTCTGAAATGCAAATTCTCTATCTTATCACTTTAT